AAAGGGTGGGGTTTTAAAGGGGGGGGGGGGGGACTGATGATATACTGAGGTATTTGGGCACTTCGTGGTTGTCAAACATTAGTGGAACATGTTCATAGTTAATGTGATGAACTAGACCTGTAGATACTCTGCTAGAACACCTGTGTGAACTTGAGGAGAACTGACTTCACACATTCACTAAAATGATCAAGGAACCATTTGGTTAAAGTGCAGAATTATACAGAAAATTGAAGTTAGTTCACGTATTCCATTGGTTTGAAATTCTAGATTATTTTTAAGTGCATCTTAAGAGTTCAAGATTCTTTTTGGGGCTACTGGAATTGAAAAAAAAATACCAGATAATAACCAAATATAATTGTTAACTCATCTTCAGAGGCATATAAAGTTAGATATGAATTAATGTTACATTTTGTAAGCCTGTGTTTAAGCCTGAGGATAACAAGCTTCATGGGGTTAAATTCGAGAGACCCCAAGTCCTGTAGTGTGCCGTGAGGTGTTGTGAAGCGGTACTAAATGAGTCTGAAGTTGGTGGGTCCCCATTGGTTTGACCTTTCGAGGACGGCCCTGTATTCTCCCGTTGTCATGGTCCAAGTTGATGTGGACCCTGGTTACCACACAAGTGATTTCTATGAAAAGAAAAGCCCAGGCAACTCTCCCTTTGTTCGCCCTTACAAAGAGAACGAAGAAAAACATAAGACTAATTTCTTTACTCTTTTATCTTCTTCTAATCATTTTCTTTTTTACATTATGCAATGTTCCTTTACTCCTCAAGAGTAATCTTTATGAGAATTAACTTGCATGTGGACTATTTGTGAGGTCATATAAGATGACATAATTTTGGATATTTTTACTTTTGCTAATGAACTCATCAAAATGTCTATTTTCTAATGGTTCAAGCTATCTTTTGTGGGTTTGGTTTCATAAGCTACTGACTTGTTTGAAGCCATCTGAGGAACAGCAGTGAGATGAACCAATGACGGAAACAAACCAATGAATTGCTTGAGCTCCCCAGTGACTCTTCCAGTCGAGATGCGGAGTCTCTCATGTAATAAGACTTCATAGCTGAGCTATTGTGAAAGAGTGTAGACATCAATGGAAGGTGGACACACAGTGTGTGAAGTGTTGCTCATTGCACCTTCCTCTTATTAAAGAGCCCCAGAATTGCACCCCTGCCAAGTCTCTTTATCCCTGCAGTGCTACAAACATCTGATCACTGTCTTCACAAGACTCTTGTGCAGTGAAGCATTTTCCCTGCTCAACCACGGATCAGAAACATAAGCTGATACACCCATAGTGAGAAAGAAACGTCAGACTGCTTTTTGGCCATTTGCCTACTTTTGGGTCTTGAGACTGTTCTTGCAAGTCCACAATTCTTCAGTTTGTCTTAAATTCAAAACATTGCTCTGTTTGTTTGAGCAAGCAGCCTAACAAAGCAATATTGGCTCAACCAATCATGTGAATTTGGGGCATGGCTATCTGTTTTCCCAACCAATAGCAGAAAAGGGATGATTTTGCAGGAAACTGTTTGAAAACCAACCCAGATCTCAGGAGAAAACTGTTTAACAAGTTGGCGATTTTGTATGGAAAATGTACATTTTTTTGAAAAAACGTGGCATTAAGGTCCATCCCTAAACTTAACCCTCAGTGTGTCGTAAGCAGATTGTACCAAACAGATTTTATGAATGAGATTCTTATGATGAGATAAGTAGGCCTATGTAAGTATTTGTATGAATTCGCCACTAATTCACCAAAATATTAAAAGACGTATGAATTGCCACGAGAGTGTGAGATCTCTCATCAGATTATGAAGAATGTCACCAGAACTCAGATATTCTGTGACAAATCCTTTCGACAGCACAGTCTAGTAGTGTTTCAATAAGCTATAGTTAAGTACATTGCTGGGTGGTAATGAAAATAAGGAAACATTTTTTTTTTTGTAGTACATGGGGTGGTTATGAACAAACGTATATCGGATCAATGAACTGCATTATAATTGTGACCTCACTCCTGTGCTCACTCCATTTGAGATCAATGTGAAAGTTGTGTGACCCTCACTGACTGCTAATGCAATTAGGGTTTTATTGTGTGCAAGTTTATAGTGCTGTAAATACCACCACCCCCACTATATACCAAGATTAAAAGCAATGGCTACACGTAAACCATAAACGCCAATTTGTCCTAATGGCCACTTGTCAGTTTGCAAGCTAGTTTGTTGAAAAATAAAAGTGTCATTTGTCTCCTACTTGATTTTGTTCAAAACATTTTGGAAGCTCTAAACTAAATATGTCAAAGGCGTGTTTTTACGTGCAGACAGTGAGGACAACGCAATAGCAGTACAAGATCAGCTCAAATACTGGTGCAGGAAATGTGTAATTCCTTAGAAATGCAAATGATCTTGTATCAAATTGGGCATCTTTCTTTTAATGCGCATATAGTATGGGTATTATTTGACACAAGTCTAAATGTTTACACTTAGGAAAAAAAGTTGGAAAAATGCTTTCTTTGTATAACTTTTAATCTATAAGTATAGGTAAGAAATGTAGAATTCCCTAGAAATTCAAATTATAATGTGTCCGATTGGCATCGTTATTTTGATGTATGTTTATTTAATGTATGTATAGTGCGGATTATTTGACAAAAGTTTGTTTATGCTTAGAAATGCAAACTCTTTAATGCAACAAACTGTGAAATCTTTAGAAAAGTTGCCTAAAATGAAAAAAAAAAGTTATTTGAATAAAATATTTCTTTTTTTGTAAGTATACTATTGGTTTGAGTTAACAAAAGTCTAAACTATTTTAGTAAGAAATAATAAAGAAATATGAAATAATATAAATGCAAGAAATGTGAAATCTTTAGAAATGCAAGTGAATGCAATGATTTGATACTTTTACAGATAGTATGGATTTCAGTTAACAATAGACACAATTGTTCAACAAGGAGAAAACACCCTTCAACAGATAAACATGCTTTTTTTAAAAGTCCTTACCATGGCTTTTTTTTTTAAATTGTGATTTAATAATTAGCTCTCAGAAAGGCCTCACTCGTGACTTTACAGTACCTTTATCAAAGCAATACATCATTGTTTCCCACCTCTGTTTGTTTAAATGGTGTGTCGCTCTGACAGGAAGAGTAGATCTTACTGTAAATGAAGCTTATTGTCACGGAATATGAAATATAAATGCAAGAAATGTGAAATCTTTAGAAATGCAAGTGAATGCAATGATTTTATACTTTTACAGATAGTATGGATTTCAGTTAACAATAGACACAATTGTTCAACAAGGAGAAAACACCCTTCAACAGATAAACATGCTTTTTTTAAAAGTCCTTACCATGGCTTTTTTTTTTAAATTGTGATTTAATAATTAGCTCTCAGAAAGGCCTCACTCGTGACTTTACAGTACCTTTATCAAAGCAATACATCATTGTTTCCCACCTCTGTTTGTTTAAATGGTGTGTCGCTCTGACAGGAAGAGTAGATCTTACTGTAAATGAAGCTTATTGTCACGGTTGCTTGTTTTGGGAGGAATCTGCTAATTTTCGCATGCTCAAACGATCAGAGCTTTGCTTTGTCCCTCTCAGACGGCGTATAAATCACTGTCACTCGGTACAGTTGGTGCATTAGCTGGGCTTCACGAATGCAGCCTTCCCGTTCACCTTCTCAACATGAACGCTATTAATGGCGATGATGAGTGCATAGGGTGCAGAGGGTGTATTTGCTTGCCCGGAGCATTATGTTTAGTCAAAGCTGCAGTCTGTCAAGCTGTGATTTATCGTATGTATGGCTAATGGCAGCCTGTCAAGATAGCAATGTTTTATTGGACTTGAAAGTTGGGAGAGAGGG